CGCTATAAAGTTAGAGAGGGCAGCTGAAAGATGTATCAGTGTTCTGCTTGAACTTATTAAGATCAAAGTTAATTATGTGGTTCAAGAGGCTATTATTGTCATCAAAGATATATTTAGAAGATACCCGAATACGTGAGTTCCTTTCCATTAGTTTGATAAAATTTTCTGTCCCTTCATTCAGTCTCTTTGTAATAGCCTTCTCAATTTGTAGATATGAATCTATCATTGCAACACTGTGTGAGAGCTTAGACACTTTGGATGAACCAGAAGCTAAGGTACTTCTGTGTTTTATTCTTCCTTTTATTTTATTTTATTTTCAACTAATCTTCTGTGTGACTAATTCAATTTTCCTCTGCATAAGGCATCAATGATCTGGATAATTGGTGAGTATGCTGAAAGAATCGACAATGCTGATGAGCTCCTAGAAAGCTTCTTGGAGAGTTTCCCCGAGGAGCCTGCACAAGTGCAGTTGCAACTGTTGACTGCAACTGTTAAACTCTTCCTCAAGAAGCCAACTGAAGGACCTCAACAGATGATTCAGGTCATGTGGTCTGGAATTCTGATTCAAAATTTCTAGAGGATAACAGGTTGATGTAATATCATATACTAAGCTCATTCGTCCGCACAAATTTTATGCTACTGATACCCGACTTGAATAGATTTAAAGAAAAAGGACCGACTCTGAATGAGTATTCCTCATTGCTTTGGTCAAATAGCTACAGGATATCCAGAAATAATTGATGTCTGGCCCTTGTAAGCTTACCCAGATGGCACCTTCTCAATTATTCCATGTATCTCTGCCTTCTGAAAGTTGTATAGATTGCCATTTAGCTTTTTTTCATCCCTGCTGGAGCTCCTAACTTTTGCTTGCGGAATCAGAAAGCTAGATTTTAGAATCTGCAGTTATCTGTTAATTGAGAAAGTGGCTAATGGCACTTGAGGCTCATAGTGGTGCTTGCTCTTCTTTTGCAGGTTGTTTTGAATAATGCCACGGTAGAGACTGACAATCCTGATCTAAGGGACCGTGCATACATATACTGGCGATTATTATCAACTGATCCGGAGGTGTGTTGTTTTTGAAATGGAAAAGTAGTTTGGCAGTGTTGACGAGTATGTTTCTTCAGTTTGTGCATGAGCATATCTGTTGCTAGATTGCTTGTTTACATGTGCTTGAGTAATTACGTAGTACCGTTATCTTTTCAGCAGATGAGTAGTTAGGCTGCAGGTGGCTGACTATACCTGGTTCCCAGGTTGTTGCAGAATATTTAAGTACCTCAAAAGGATGCATATAATATGTCTAATTTCAATAATGTTTCAGGCGGCTAAGGATGTGGTGTTAGCGGAAAAGCCTGTGATCAGTGATGATTCAAACCAAATTGATCCTTCTTTACTTGATGAGCTTCTAGCAAACATTGCCACATTGTCCTCTGTGTATCACAAACCACCAGAAGCATTTGTAACACGTGTGAGGACAACAACACAGAAGACTGATGATGATGAATATCCTGATGGTGCTGAGACTGCATATGCTGAAACATCATCTTCCCAGATCGCCGATGGTTCTGCTTCACCTGCAGGGAATGTTCCAACAAGGCAAATGACAACTGCAGCAGCTAGCCCTCCACAACCTGTACCTGTCCCAGATTTGATGGGTGATCTTATGGGTCTGGACAACAGTGCTATAGTCCCTGTTGACCAGCCTTCTACTCCTTCCGGGTAAGGGGGAAATAGAAGAATATTCTACAGATTTTTAAAAAAAATAAAAAACACTATTCTACCTTCTAACAGTTCTGACAGAGTCACTAGATGATGGCTTTGTTGATTGGGGTTTTGCTTAACAAAAGATTTTTTATGAAAACTTGGCAGTAAAAGTGAGAAAACAGTGTGCTTGGTTGGGTTATAAATAATGAAAGCTTGAGTTGATGTGTATGAGATATTCTGTAGCAATAGAAAAAGTTAAAGATGGGATGGTAGATAGTTCGTCTATTGAGAAAGAAAACTAACTGCGTTTTGGGAAATAACTATTGCTAGATTAACTTTATGAGTAGAATAACTTTCCAGAGACGATAATTTATGAGTTCTAAAAAGTTAGATTGAAGGATGTGTTTGTTTAGATTCTAGGCCAACTTTTTTGAAGTTACCAATTTTATGGCCAGAATAAAACGCACCAGATAACCTCTCACTTTGGTAACTGATTTTGTGATGGCAGTAGTGTTGACGCGTAACCACACTTTGTTGTTCTTTTGCAGCCCACCCTTGCCCGTGGTACTACCAGCATCAGCTGCCCAGGGTTTACAGATCAGTGCACAGCTAACGCGAAGAGATGGTCAAATCTTCTACAGCATGTTGTTTGAGAACAACACGCAGATGCCACTCGATGGATTCATGATCCAATTCAACAAGAATTCACTTGGTCTAGCTGCTGGTGGACCATTGCAGGTAATTTCTTTCACCGTTCTCATTAGCAAATGGTGGAATCTAAATATACACGTGGCAGCCACTTATCTGACTTGCTACTGATCTTTAGGTCCCACAATTGCAACCTGGGACATCAGCAACCATTCTCCTCCCCATGGTTATGTTCCAAAATATGTCTGCTGGTCCTCCAACCTCGCTTTTACAAGTTGCTGTGAAGAATAATCAACAGCAAGTGTGGTACTTCAATGACAAAATCTTGTTCCATGCTTTCTTCAGCGAGGATGGCAGGATGGAACGTGGATCCTTTCTCGAGGTATATGAACATGAAACATAAAGATTTTGTGTGTTTGATATAGCTTTTAAGCCAGACTTGGTTATGTTTTAGTCAAAATAGACGGTCCCCAGTGTAACATTCCTGCTTGAGCTCAATGTTTGGAGCATCACCCCAATAATCTAGTTATTTTCATTTAACCAGGATTAGAATTGGCACTTACGTTTTATTCCTGGTGAATATTTGCAGACATGGAGGTCCATCCCTGACACAAATGAAGTCTCGAAGGACTTCCCAGGCATCGTGTTGAACAGTGCCGATGCCATGGTGGAACGTCTAGCTGCATCAAACATGTTCTTCATTGCCAAGAGAAAGCATGCAAACCAAGACGTCTTCTACTTTGCGACCAAAATCCCTCGCGGAATCCCTTTCCTGGTCGAGCTGACCACAGCCATAGGTACTCCGGGAGTGAAGTGTGCAATCAAGACTCCCAACCCTGAAATGTCTCCGCTCTTCTTCGAGGCAGTTGAGGCACTCCTCAAGGCTTGACCCCAATATTACTTCCCCCTTACTGTTCAATTTTTTTTCCCTGGGTTTCTTGTGTAAAATTGAAACGGGTTTAGTTACTGAAGGGTAGTGCTTTTCTTCCATTTGTGTTTTCTTCTTCGGATTTAGCTCGTGATTCTTGTAGCACGAAATGCACTACATGTATCTTTCTTCTTGAATCGGCGATAAAGATTCATTGTAATACATCGAGTGAAAAGACTATCTGAGAAGGGTTTCTTCTGATGAGAGTTTTAGTTGCTGAAATTGAGAACCTAGAGAGATGGCTTGAACCCAGAAATCTTTGATGACAGTTTTGCTACTGATGCATTGGTATATTGTATTTGTTTCCTGGCTAGACACGAATTGCTGTTGTTTCTAGAAAGGCTTAACCAATTTTCAGCATCAGATGGGCATTATTCCAAAGGGGAAAGCACATTTGTTATTCACATTACTAGTATACTAGTGCAACAATTGATATAATAACCTTTGTCTATATCTTAACATTTCCTGATGATTTGCTTGCACTTCATATGATTACTTGAGAAAACCCACAAATTACTACAACCGTTGAGATCTATCTAATCCATTCGATCCAACGGCCGGTACATCCCCATTGCATTACTTAACTTTCATGAAGCCTCTTAACTAACTTCTGCGTGATGAACACAATGCATTCGTTTCACATGACTCTTTAGAAATCTCATCACATATTCATGAACTTGCCAATTAATCAGCCCCTTGGACCCTTGCCATTGATTAACCTTATGATGATCATAAATTCCTTTCCTTTTATTAACCAATGAAAACTTCAAGTCACTGCATTTGATTCCGTTTCCCAGTGGTCTAAACAAAAAGGAAGGTTAACATAACACAAGAACAATGAGGCTTATCATGGCTTCTCTCCTCTTGTTTTCCTGCCTCCATCTACCTCTTGGCAGCAGCAGCAGCCTTGACAGCCATTCTTCTGAAGTCAAAGAAACAGCTCCGTCCCACGTGGTAGGACTGTTGAATTTGAGTACTGGTTCGGTAGAGCTCCATCCTTATGGTTGGAGTTACATGCGAGGTGAGAAGAGGTCCTCCTTTGAGTTAACATTGGCTGAATCTTATGTCCATTATGTGATGTGAGACTTGCATTAGAAGGTTTTTGTTCACTGAATGTTTTTCCTTGTTGCAGTTGAGCTGCCATCTTCATACTCGTTGGCTTCCATATCGGTGCAATCGAGCGTAGATGATGTGAGTATTGCACTATAAACTTAAAGAAAAACAAACTGCCTGATTCCCTGTAAGATTCAGTTCATTGGCACTTGGATGATGAGGAAGCTATTAATTTTTATTTGGCATCTAATCTAAACTACTTCTCTTACTATGGTGGAAATTTTTGCAGGATGCTAATGGAACTAGCAGCAGAAAGAGGGAAAGGCTCCCCCTGATGTGTTTGAGAAATGGAGGCCCTCCTATTCCTGATGTCTCTAGGGTTGCTGTGAACGGTCTTGGTAGAACCTAATACTATAACCCAAGTCATTAATCATGTTTATTTGTTTGAACCAATTAACCAACTGTCATAATCTTTGTGAATTCTGCTTATGCAGTGCTGAATCAGCCATCTGAAGGAAGAACTTATGTTCAGGATCCTGATGATCAATGTTACCCCCTCAGGCAAAACATGTCATTCATTTTAACATATGATAAGGTAACTATGTAACACGATTGTTATAAATTACCAGTTTTTCTATCTTCAGGCAATCTCTAGACCTCGCATTTCTCTAGTAGTCCCACAAATCTGAAAGTTGCTCTTCTGCAGGTTCCACCAGGGACTTACTATCTTGGATTCTTCAATGGCCTTGGACTTGCAAGAAACCAAGCCAAATCGGTAATCACAACACTAGACCAAAATCTTCCATTTCAATTGCATAACTCAAACCCCATTTTGTTAAATGACTGACTACAAAATTTCAACAATTAGACCAAGAAAGGTCTAGGATTCAGTTTCAGTGCCAATGTTACAGCACACGGCTGCAAACAGGCTTCAGGTTACCGAGGAGAAAGCTGCAACTTTAGAGTGGATCATCTTTCTTCTGCTGCTGCAGCTTCCTGCCATAACTCAACAGAACCAAAGTTCTATTCTTTGAATGTTGTTCAAGTTGCACAACAGTTGAAGTTAGGATTCAAGTCCCCAAATAATAGCACTGGTAGAAATCACCAAATAATGTGTTATGCTCGACTGAATGCACTGCCGGGCAATGATAATGAGTCCCATGATTACTCTGTGGAGATCAGCAAAGAGCCTCTGCTGATCTTGTTGCCAAATATGGGAACATGGTACTTCAAGCTCCAGCCTTTGAGACGATACCAAGAAGAAGAATCACAGCCGGTTTGCTATTCAATGGATTGGCAAGTGAAAGTATGCAGCAATGGAATGGCAGGGCCAAACTGTTCCTCGAGAACTCAAGTTCTAAAGGTTTGTGACGTGTTGGGGATTTGGCCAGTTATTAATTGAAAAAGTGTGTTTGTGTTAACTTATAACCTATGTCTTTTAAGTAACTGTTTTCTTTTTAATTCAAGTAAACACATTGCAATGCTGCAGGGAGTTCATTTTGGTCTTAGAACTATGCCCTATGTTTACTTGCCTGACGTTACAAAAAGCAAGACTATAAAGGTTCATCCTGCAAATTCCACTTCAACAGCAACCAAAAGTTCAGATTCTGCCTGGACCTATTACTTCTTCAACACTTCAAAGGGTACATCAGGGAAGAACATGTACATTCGAGTCGAGCCAAGGTCGAGAATCGAATTTGACCTGTATGTCAGATACTCAGGCTTGCCATCTGTTGATCTGTGGGACTACTGCTACAGAAACCATAAGGCCGAGGGCAAGAACAACAGCATAATGTTTAAGGTGTATGAAGCAGCAAATGAAGGCGGAATCAGTTTCTACCTTTTGTATCCCAAAGAAGGGGATTGGATTGTTGGTTTGAGGCACAAACATGTGAGGAGCAACAACTATTCTGATTATGATCAAACTTCTGAAGTGTTTGTTTCAATCGAAAGCTGCCCGAATCAATGCTCGGGGTATGGGACCTGCTTGGACCAAATGGATGCAAGTGAACAGGATTTTACCTACAGGTTCGTTTGCCTGGTTTCGTTATAACACCTGCAATATTCAGCAATCAGTTGAAAACCAAAAAGAAAAAATTCATCATTTCCCCCCTCCAAAACTTGTGTCCAGCTATTGCTCTTGTGATGTTGATCGTGGAGGGTTAGATTGCAGTGAAGACATTCTACAGCGGCGAGGTAGTATTCCCTCAATCCAGTTTGATCTTCTGTGAAAACACTAACGTTTTGTTATCTTCTAGGTTACTTAATATCGACTGATTGGCTTGAAACAGTGTGGCTGCTGCATGACTTGTGTCTTATATTCTCAAACCTGGCAGCCTTGCTTCCTGGATTCTGGACTCTCAGGCAACATGTAAAGTTTGTTATACTATACTATTTGGAACGAAAATTTCAAAAGATAATTAGCCATAAGAAGATGTCCTAGAAAGGTGGTGCTGGTGATGATATAATGAAGACTAAAAGTACAAGTAAAATTTGCAGGCATATTCAGAGGCAGCAATCTTCCTGGCAAGTGGAGCATCAAGTGGGATATACCACTCCTGTGATGTTGGCCTCTGGTGTTTTCTCAAATTCAATGTCCTTCAATTCCTAGACTTCTGGCTCTCATTCATGGCCATCATCACCACATTCTTGTTCATTCCAACCATAGCCGACCCAGTCAGAGGATCCATTCGAGTCATAGCAGTAATTATCACAGCCACACTGACTGTAATCGGACCGACAAGATCTGTCAACGTGGCTGCTACGTTTGCTCTAGGAGCACTCTGCCTTTTACTGGGATGGCTGATCCAGTACTTCACAGATCACCACAGAGGAAGAAGACAATTGCAGGAATGGCCAATCCAAGTAATGATTAAAATAGTGAACAGAGGGTTGAGATGGGAATTTGTGGGGTTAGGTTTTGTAATGTTGGTATTGGCTGGTGGCAGTATGAAAATGGAGACTGCTCCAAGTTACTGGATTTGGCATAGCTTGTGGCATCTTTGTATATATGTCAGTGCTTTTTTCTTCCTTTGCTGCAAATTGCAGACAACTTCTGAGGGTGAAAGTGTCCCCAGGGGGAACTGCAGCAGTTGTACATGTAGTTCTAATGCTCAAGTATAGAGATGATAAATTAGTGGATTAAGATTTCTTCACTTGTAGTTGTAAGTTTATGTATTTTCTATATACACCCACAAAGCTTGGTTTAATTGTTTGAGACATTGATGTGCTTGCTTACAACTAAAATAAAACTCCAAACCAATTAGTTTGAAAGTAGTGGTGAAACTGGGTCATTGAATGCGTAAAAATAATGCCCCTAGTACCTAAAACCTAAGCGCTGAAGGAATGAGTAAAAATCAACCCATAATTGTTTATGAACGTGTAAAACTAAATGGGTAACCATCAGACCATTAGCATGCTAAATGCTACCAAACCAGCAAATTGCCTGACATGTCGATCAATGACTCACTCCTCAATGAACTTAGAAACGACTTTCCATTTCGTATTTCGATGAAAATACATTGCATCTGTCTGCTGGAAATCAGCATGAGACCAAACAGAAAAATTGCAGAAACTTTTACATGGTTCGCTGTATAAGGCTCGACGAAGACTACATCAACGGGAACTGTGATGATCTATCTTCTTCTATGTACAACTTCATATAGAGATCCTACTCACCTGATTCGATTCACCCAAGAGAAGGGCTCAGAATTCGCTTTGGGGGCAGATTTTTCTCGAGCAGCTTCAGCTGGATCACCAAACACATTCCAGAACCTGAGGGTCTCATCCCCTGCGGCAGATGCCACAGTGCAACCATCTGGACTCTGAGCCAGGAAAAGCACCCTGGAGGTATGGCCCCTAAGTTCAGCAGTCTTCACCATGGACGGATACTTCCACAGAGTCAGCTGGTTCCCGGTGAACCCATGAGAGCTCAGAAGCTCCCTTTCGCTCTTGCTCCACAGCAGCCCACAGACCTGGGCATACGTGTTGGCCGAGTTCAAGCAAGCCCCCGTGATGGTGTTCCAGAACTTGATGCTCATGTCCCCTCCGCCTCCACCTGAGGCAAGCAAGTTGGCTTGGAATGGACACCATGCCAGAGCCCTCACTGCTGCAGTGTGTTCCTCCATCCTGTGAAGCCATTGATGAGCTGCAGCCATGGAACTTCTTCTTCTGTCCCATATGTGGATGAGATTGTCATTTCCCCCACTTGCTAATTGCTGTCCTGAAGCTGACCATTTTAGCCCGCAGACTTCCTGTGAATGCCCCCTGTAGGTCCCTACAATGTGGTCGCGAATTCGGACATCGTTGTTCATGATCAGACCATCCATTCCACCAGTGGTCAGGATGTGGTTGTTCCATGCCAATGACCCGACTCGACATCTGTGTCCACCTTTCAGAGTCCTTAACTGTAGAAACAAAGCAATACCAATTACCAACAACTGAACCAGTCAGAACCAGACTCTCTTAAAAAGGAAAATGGAAAACAAAGAACTCAAAAGAAATTTAGAAACCTGTTTATTAGAGGCGGCATCCCACAACTGGACTTCAGAGTTCTCCAAGCCAATAGCGAGATGGCGGCCGTCAGGAGCCCAATTCACGCTGGTAAATAGGCCATGTTCCTCATCAACTGTAACAAGCTCTGAAGTTGAGCCATGGGAAGCATCCCAAAGATAAACTGATCTTGCTAGAGCTATGGCAACAATATTGCTGCTGCCCCAGTCCAGTAAGTTCAAGTAGAAATCATCAACAATGTCCGGAGCATCCAATGCCCTCTCTGAAGTCTACACAAATGAAAGCAATCATCTATCAATCAGCAGCTGCTACTTCCAATAACGTGACTAGACAATTCAAGATGTACTAGGTGACCAATAATAATATCATAAACTAAGCTGCAGGCGGAACGTTGGATACCTGCCGAATGCGCCTGCGAGGCTTAGCTGGTTTAGGCTGCTGGTGATATGTAGACGAAGAAGAAGCTGAAGAAGAAGTGTGTTGACGAGGGATCAGCTCGACCGGGACAGGTGGCTTGTTCTTGAATGCAAAGATCCTAGTTCGGTTCAGGTTCAACGTCTCAGCCAGTAGCCGCCGGTAAGCCTCGCTCGAAGGAGACCTAGAAAATGGTGGCTCCTTTTCTTTCCTACCTTCAGTAACCATCCAATGGGCGTAACCCATGTCCATCGCCGATCGATTTGGTATGAACCTATCCAACTGTTCACCAGCACACAAAATAAGAACGAAGCCTTTCTTTGTCAGACAGGGAAAAAAAATAGAAACTGGGATGCCATCACAACTCTACCAAACCCTAAACCTAGAAGATAAAAACAGCAATCGGGGAAGTGAAAAGAACTAATCTTGATATCTTAAACACGGTGAAGGAAACTGGAAATTCAAATTCGATCAAACCTAAACCCAATTAAGGAAGGGGGAATAAAAAAAACAGATTCGGGTAGGTGAAAGGAATGCTCACGTTCTCTTCGGAACTACTCCTCCTCTGGTGCGGGAACCTGGGATTAGGGTTGCTGTAAATCATATTCGCTGACCCTGCATTCAAAACGAGAAAAAAACAAAACAAAACCAGACAAGAAAGAAAGAAAGAAAGAAAGAAACCCTAACAGCTTACTGTAAACAAACAGATACGATTAGTAAAGAACGAAAATCAACGACTGTGTGTGATCTGCATAACAGGGGTAAGGAAAAGAGAATAGCAAGCTATCTAATCGCAGATGAATTCAACTCAAATGGAAGCAAGCAAAGAAAAATAGCGGCCAGCAAGAAGAATCAGAGCCGAGAGCCGGAGGAAGAGAGCTCCGTTGTGTAGGTCGCCGATGAGAGAGCCGTTAGAGAGCAGGAAGAGGAAGGGTCGGAGAACAATGATCGCAACAAAACTGAATTGGAGTAAGGCGCGCTTTGCAGGTTGTGGGAATTTATAGACTGTTGGGTTTGCGGCAAAACAACGCACTAGCCGTTTGGAACTTTGCATTGCCGGAACCGCCCTTATATTGGGCCCGTTTATTGTGCGAGTTGGGCCCGATTGGAGCGATGAGAGCCCATGCGTTAAACAAAGCCCTTCAAGTTGTGAATTACACTTTTCGTAGCAAGTAGCATGTATAGCAGTATTTTTGTTTGGGGTTCGCACGTGCGAATCACGTGGCTGAAAATTTTCCTCTTTCGCTGAATTCGCTCAGTCCGCACAGAAACGGGGGGCTATTTTACTTCAGGACCCGGCTTTCGCCTGTCATCTCTCGTCTCGTCTCTCGAACCAGAAACACGACGACCCCTCAGAAAACCGAGTTAGGGATCCTGAGTGGACTCACTCGTCAGCTGATCCATTCATAGTTGCAACTTGCAATCTTCCTTCACACTCTACCTCTTCTTCTCTTCCTCCACAGGTTCGGGAATTTCCCCTCTGCTCGATCCTTCTCTCTACCCATTCCCCGGTTTATGCCTACTTAGATTGTTTTTGACGATATTGAAAATTCAAGGTCGTCTGGGCTTGAATCTGGTCCAATTATGCCTGAATGGCTGTTTTTGTGGCTGAATTGTTTCCTTTCATGCACTTCCTAGCCGAGAAAAGTAACTGTTGGTGGGTGTAAAAGGAAGGAAGGAAAGAAAATGTTTGTGGGAATGGGATTTCGTTACTCTTACCAATTGGGTGAAATCTCCGGTGTTCATTGCGTTCTGCTGTTGAATGATCTGAAAATGTCCCGATCCCTGAATATTTTGCGTTGAGCTTTTTGTTCTGTTTCTCTAACATTGTGCTCTCCCCCCTTGCTGTTCATTTTGATGATGCTCCATGGAGGGTTTTGGTAGATGTCACATTCAAGGGAAGGAAGGTGAGCTAGTTTCCTCTCTTCATGGTCACTAGCGGTTGCTAATGTAACTGTCCCTGTGGCTCTTTCTCCATGTGTCGTTGTCTACTGCTGAAGCTCCTTCGATTTGAGTGGGGTTTTTCGACCATTGTTTGCAGGCGTGGACCCTCGAAGTCTCCCTCACCACGTCCCTCGGCGGCTTCTTCTCCTAGAGCTCGAAGGTCAAGATCATTGTCCCGGTCACGAAAAAGTCGCTCCAGATCAAGGTATCAGTGTTGGGATCGTGGGGCAGGTTTCATTTCAGTGTATGTTGTGTATTGGGGAAATGTGACAGTTTTCAATTTGGGTGTGTTGTAGGAGCCGAGAATCTGTTGAAGCTTACAATCCTGGAAATAATCTCTATGTGACTGGTCTATCCACTAGGGTTACCTCCAGTGATCTTGAGAAGTTCTTTGCTAAGGAAGGGAAGGTATGTTCTTCGCTATGTCATAGAATAGATTCTTTGCCAGGGCATGAAGACTTGATATGGTTACTACACCTCTGTTGATACTGCCTACATGATGTTTAGTTTACTTATTCTACTTTTTGGATTCAGGTGGTGGAGTGCAATCTGGTGCTTGATCCTCGCAGCAAGGAATCCCGTGGATTTGCTTTTGTCACCATGGAAACCACCGAGGCTGCTGAGCGCTGTATCAAGTACTTGAACCGTTCTGTGCTTGAAGGACGATTGGTCACAGTGGAAAAGGTATGCATAGAAAGATTTCCAGTTCAAGGAGTTTCATCTATTATCATGTATGCACTTTTTGCATGTCTTTGTTTGGAAACATTTCTTTTTTTTATTCAGAAGCAATGGCCTAATAATTTTTGGCAGCAGGTTTGCTATGTGTAACTTCATCATCGAATTCACCATCTAAGCTCTCCTAAACAGTTGAACCCCATCATCCCTTCCGCAATCACCACGATATGAGTTCCGCATCGACTTGTTGAATTCCCCGTCGATATTGATTCAAATCGATCAACTGTATTTGCGGAGGGTTGTTTATCTTCCCTTTTCATCGTTAGTAAAAAGTATCTGCCCTCGAATTTTCTTTTTATTTTTTTTCTATTCAATTCTTATCGCATATGATGACGGAGTCGCACTAAAGAACTGCTACATTTGCATCAATCTTTTTCTCATTCTATCGTATTTTTCTCGTAGTGCGATATTCATTTACGTAGAAAGGGATGATATATGCATAAATCTCTCGATTTCCGATGAGAATCAGCGGAATTGCAGATTATTGTCATCGCTTGCAGATATAGAAAACTCTGTTTTGCCTTCTTCAATGGGAATGCTTTCCAAAAAGGCAGCATGAGCAATATCTATTGTGGATTGCTTTTTTTAGCTTCATCAACTAGTTGCTGACATTGGATTTTTCTGCTTTGGTTACAATTCTAGGCTAAAAGGTCTCGTGGCAGGACACCAACTCCCGGGAGGTATCAAGGTCTGAGAGAGCGACGAGGTACATCCTCTTGTTCATACAATAGATTCCTGTTGTTAATCAAGCAACCATGCATTTGAGGGGTGACTTTCATGTCTTGGTTGTTTGATCATCTGTTCTTTCTCTGGAATTGTCACTAGAGATGGATTTTGCTTTTCTTTCCAGCATCTTAACTACATAGAGTTATATGTCATATGCCGGTCCACTATCCTCAAACTATTTTTTTCCTTCAAATGGTATTCCATTTTTGTTTTTCAATTGGTCCTAATCAAGCCGTGTACTGTTAGTTTTTGGTTAGCTCGACTGTTATGGGGTTCCAGTTCCACCCTGTTGATTGAATAGTGACTTGGCTCCCAATGACCCCTAAATTCATCTGAATGACCCCTAATGTTTCCCTGGTCGCCAGCAGAGAAAAGATTATTCAAGTGACTTGGATAACAATAAGATTATAGTTTGAAGGTGGCCACATGTCATGTAACTCAACTAGATTTTAATCCTGAAATCTTTGGTTCCTGAGAAGCTCACGGGTTGTCACATTATCTGCACTTTTGCAGGACGTGGTGGTCAGAGGCGCTCGCGTAGCTACTCGCCTCGTAGACGTGACCACCGAGAGCGAGAGAGGGATCCATACCCAAGGGATCGACGAGGCAGATCGCGATCACCTTCTGGAAGAAGAAAAGATGATCATCATGACTCGCATAGGAGGCACAGGGAAACTTCACCCTCAGCAGATCGGAGCCACCGTAGGTAGACAGACAGATGACCGGTGGGGTTAAGATGAAAGAATCATCCCCTACCTACCGAGCTACTGCTATATCCAGTCTTGTTTACTCTGCTCATCTTATCAGGATCCAATTTATTGGGGGAAGCCCTTAAGAGTTAAGACCAACTGGGTTTAGGTTATGTTTGTATACTCATTTTGTATCCGTAGGATCTTTGGCGAAGCTTTGTATCTCTTCTGTTCATCATCTGCAGTAGCTCTATCATCTAACTTGGGGATTTCTGGTTATTTTCTTCTCTTCATCCTCCTTGCTACGAGGCTTGGATAATGGTTAATATGATCAACGCAGAGCAGTAAATTCTTAATAATATCGTACTGAAGTGTGAAAAAACTGGCAAAAGCAGAGAAGGTTGACGTTTTTGTCCCGTAGCAATAGGCTGGAATTTGATTTTGAAGGGGGCGTGGGCCGGAGTGGTGGCTGTGGCTGTGGCTGTGTGTGCAGAAAGGCAGAAACTCGTTGTACGCTACCAAGGATCTTCTTGTCACAGTTTTTGGCAATCAATGACGTGCCTAATACATTTCAAAATTTTCATATATCTTTTTATATTTTGTTAAAAAGTATATAGAAGTTAACATCAAATAAGGATGAGAGTAGAACACAATCCGAGGGTACTCTATCAGACCCAATTCGGTCAATGTGATTAAAACCCGTTTTGACGGATTGTGGGTCGGGTTTGGGTTTAAACTCGTTATACTTTTTGCGGGTTGAGTTTGAGTTTGGGTTTAGTCATATTCAACCCGTGGATACCCACACCCAAGTTCATACCACCCACGACCCACAAAACCTTTAACTAATTAAATATAATATCTAAACTAATTCCTCATATGTTCAATTAATCATATGTATGTTTATCTTTAATATTGAACAATTAGTATGAATGATTTGTGAGTTAGTGTGTATGTAGTAGACAATGGTAGTGAAAATTAGTGTGTTTGCATCTTTGTACATGAACTCACGGGCACCCATGAACCCCCGCGGATACCTAACTGGTTGGGTTGGGTTTGAGTTTTCCACACCCTGTGAGTTTCACCCCGAGTTTTTTTGGATAGATAAACCCATAGATTTGGGTTTTGGTTTTACATAACCCGCTCCAATCCGACTCATCTATGTTTGATCAACACAAGTTTGTGTCGTGCCCTTTTCTCTACCACTTTCATAGTCATCATTGCGTACTAGCCATAGCAACAAATTTCCCAAATTTTCATGAGATATATACTAAAGACAATTATATGCAATCATGCTTGTCATAATTTATAACGAAATTTGTTGTGCATGCAAAATATGCGATGATCATATACACAAATGAAAATGATCCATATGGTCGGATATGTATCCTGCAAAGCGAGGCTGCAACACAAATACACAATGGAGTTTTTTTTTTATCATTCCAATAATTCAATTTAACTTGGTAGCATTCTCCCCTACATATCTAAGGCTTCTGAATTTCCCTTTTGATACTTGTTAGTGCAGTCAGCTCTCAGCAGTACTATCATATGTGACACCAATCACCATCTCCAATATAATTTTTTTTTTAAAATAAAAAAACAAAATTGTAGCCATGGAGTATGGCTATTAGAGCATCCACATTGGTATTCCACTCTCAATTGCAAAATGACATGGCATAGGTGTTTGCAATTGCAAAACCAATTGCATTGATGTGGCTACCAATTGCATATTTGCAAACTTGCAACAAATGCAATTCCATATGCAAGTAAAAAAAACCTAAAAAAATAGGGATTTTTTTATTTTACATTATTTTCTTTTCTTTTACTTAATTTTTTATAATTTAAACATAATATTTAATTACATTTGCAATTTCAAGTTAATTGCATTGATGTAGGTGAATGAAATGAATGTGATGTGGATTGCAAAAAAATTAAGTTAAAAATAAAAAATACAAATGCAATTGCATTTGCAATTGCATTGATGGAGATGCTCTTATTATTAGTAATTATTAAAAATGTTATGATTTTATTATGTCGTCCTTCTTCTTTGCAAAAATGTGGATAGGGTTTGGGGGTGGGTACAAATTGCGAAAAAAACGCAATCGTTGCTTTGCTGCTATAAGATCCGACAGCTGTGCTTCTGACACGTGTACGTCATTCACCGCGTCGTCTCTGGGCTCTCTCTCTCTCTTTCCCGCTCGGCTCGGCTCGGCTCGGCTGGAGAGTTGAGAGTGCAGCTGGCCGTTCCTTCAATTATTTTGATTTGACTTTTGCTTCAGCCCCGGGGGCTTTCCCGTTGGCTCTCTGCTCTCTTTCTCTCTTAAGTACAATCAATGCCCAACATTAAGCAGCGCAAACCCAGAATTGAAGCATATATATGGATTAGTGGACAAATTAATTAATTAATTAAGCTCCTGGGCCCAACGTCCTTGAAATATGCGGATGTCGCCATGTCGGATTCATTGGATATACACTTCTATTTTATACCCTTTCTTTCTAGCTCACAACCCTCAACAAGGATGAGATAAGAATGCCTTTGGCGATTGGCACCTCCTTAATCCTCTCTCATTATATTGCTATTAGCAGCTTGCTCTATACTGTTATTTTTATCCTAATCCTACAGCGGCGATTATGGGCAATAAGTAGGTGCGGTGACCTTATCTTGTTTACCGTCGTGGCTGTTGGTGCCGTCTTAGGCCAAAAGAAATTGGGCCTATTCTCATGTGTCAGTTGGGCTTGGTCCGTCCTTTATATTTATTTGTTTTGCAGATGAAGATGCTCAAGGGATATATCCTTATTGTAGATTAGTCTATTTATATTGTGTTATTGGTTTATATGCATAGACTATTTAGGGTTGTCCATATTGTGACTTAAAAGGCTCTTAAATTGATAGTTCACTTAGTGGTGACTATCGTACTTTAGTTGGCCTTCCCCGGCTCTTTGGCCTTGCCCTGTTGGGCTATTATTTTGTTCATTTTGCAGGGAACTTCTTGGTCGGTTGGCAGCCAAGGCAAAAGGGACATGTGACAATCTCAGTAATCTGTCAACAAGTGGCCTGAATCTTTGGAAACTAACATCTTGAGATGGAGAAGAGGATTGCTCGAGAACATGGTTATTTTTGTTTGTGAAATTTCGACTCTTTTGTAGTCTATGTGTTTGTCCATTTTGCAGGTTTAGCTACTTATAGGGCTGCCCTTTTGTGGCATTAACGGCCCTTTCATAGGAAGCGGATGGACTTTCCTCAAACTTTGGGGACTTGGTGGGATTTGCTGCAAAGACATGGATCTGGTCAATGCATTTACAAGGGCTTGCCGCTCTGCTTCAATTTTCAGCATGGTTAGTTCATGATATTGATCCTTTTAAGGAAAGATCATGATATTACCCATGTCGTTCAGGTATCATAGGGCAGCCCATATCGTGGCAGGAAAGCCCTATATTGTCAGACCTGCAAAGGTCTTTTCATTTATGATTTGACCTGTAAAAGTAATGTATATTGTTATATACTTCGTATCTGCTGTTCCTCTTTGAGGATATCTCTGAGAAAAACAAAAAAATTAGCGGCCTAGCTAGCCTACCCTTGCACTCGAGCAATGATGGTTTTTCTTTCAACACAGCAGCGGGGCCCCACCCAGCCATTGGGGGAAATTTTTGAAGCAGCGCGCCCGTTTGGAATAACGACAAAGAGGCTTCCCAAAACAAAAACCAAAAAGATAAAAGAAAATAAACACACAAATGCCGTGCCAGCCGATTAGCCGACACGAAGCCCCAAAATTTCTCTAGCACAAAAAAGGAAGACTGGAAGAAAAGAAAAGAAACGAAAAACTCTCTCTCTCTCTTTCTCTGTCAATTTCGAAGCTCGTTTAACGGGGAGTAGCCGGTAAACCGGCGGGCAGAAGCCGGTTACTAAGAAGAGGGCGCCGTACGGGTGGTGGGCACATGGGTCGGCCTTTGCCGTTGCCCCTGTTTCTCCAAGTCCTCGGCCATGGCAGTTGGTAATGCATTTATAGTGTGTGAGTGTGAGTGAAAGTGTTGCTCTCTCTTTTCTTCCTTCTTCCTCCTATTTTATTTTTCTCTCTCTCTCTCTCTCTCTCTCGTCATCCGTCCGTCCCTTCTCTCCTTCCTTTGCTCCTCTTCCCTCCTCGATTCCTGTGCTCTTCTTCTTCCAGCAGTTTCAAATTCCTCTCCTTCCTTCTCCTCTCTCCTACTCCATCGACGACGATCCGGCCACTTTTCCGAGACGGAGGCGGTTGATAATTTTGTTGCATTCTTTTTCTGCTTGGTACAGGTAATCCAAGCTTAACTCCATATGTTTGTTTTCATTTCTCATTTCAGTTTTGGGTTTTTCATTTCAGTTATCTTCGTTGTTCGATTATGGCGGAATTCCATCTTCTTTTTTTTTTTTTTTTTTTTACTGCGATTGCGGTCTAGCAAGAAACTTCTCTTATTTGGGTTTTTGGGGTAATTGGAGACATCGACTAGAAAGCTTTGCTGAACTTATGCCGATTGGCATTGTATAATTGGTTCTGATTGATTTCGCAGTTGTTTTTCATTTTGGGGGGAAAGAACATTGGAAATTTGGAATCAATCAAAAAGCATTTGTTAATTGGATTAACAACCTTATTCAGGTGGATTTTTTGGATTGTTCTTGACGAAGAGAGAGACAGGGAGGGGAGTTTATAAAAAAAAAAAAAAAAGCGCACACACACACACAGACAAACAAAGCAAGAATGTTTTTCTTTGTTGCAGGGTTGAGTGTAATGCTATTGCAGCTTGGAAGATGAATTTTTATTATTATTTTGGAGAAAGAATCATCTCGTCTCTGTTCTTATCTGAATCAAAACAGTAGTAGTGTAGTGTGTTTCATTTATTGCCTTCAATTCTAGTCCGTGATTCCACATTTTCAAATTAAAAAAATTTGGCCTCTCTCTCTCTGTCTACCCTCTAATCTATCTGTCTCAAAGATGGCTGATAATAAATGTATTGGGGATTGTCTGTTTCCTCTTCTTTTCCCTGACAGGCATCCATCCAATTGCTTCTTCTGGGCTCTGTGCACCGATTTACTCTACTCCACTCCACTCCCTCACTGCAGCTCGGAATTTTTACAACTTGAGTTGAGCGCTGTTGATCCAGAAACCCAAATGAGTGTCTGAAAACCATTTCGCCAATTAGCAATCACCCATTAAAAAGCTCCCTCTGCTTCTTGTTGACACGATGAAAATTCCGTGCCTTTCGGGATTGCTGGATTAGGGTTCTTCTGGGGATTAAGAGGCGGGCGTGATTGTTGTGAGTTTCTTCTGCTATTGGGGGGGATTAGAGAGAGAGAAAAGATACAAAAAAAGGTATGCTGGAGGCCAGTGAGCTTTGCTCTGCTCGCATGCTTTCACCTTTTAGGGACGAGAGTGGTGATGAAGAGCTCTCCGTCCTGCCGAGGCACACCAAGGTCGTTGTCACTGGAAACAACAGAACCAAGTCTGTTCTTGTGGGCTTACAAGGCGTGGTCAAGAAAGCTGTTGGCCTTGGAGGCTGGCATTGGCTGGTAATTTCCTTTTTCTTTTGCTCATCATTACCTCTTCTCTAACAACTTTTCCTTTGTCTGCATTAGTCCTTAATAGGAAAATTAAGCTGTGATTTCTCTTTTTCCCCATTCAATCTAGCTTAAGTTTGAGTCCTGTTCGTATCTTGGTGATGGATAGTAGTATCTTTTCTTGTGGGGTTTTCTCTAATACTTTTTTCTTTGCTCTTGTTCATTTATTGGTGTGACATAAAGCTAAGCACTTTGCTGTTTTTGGTAGAGCTTCTGTTTTGTTGGCTTCTGAAATTGTCAAATGTAGAGCAAACAGCAATTCAGGTTCTCTGTGAGTTGGGCTTAGGGTGGATGAAAACACTATTATTGGCACAGTACGAAAGGAAATCAAGAAAGTGATAGGGGGTAACAATGTCAATTTTTTTTGGGCCTGTCTCATTCTATACGCCCACTAGCCCAATCCGAAGACTTGGCCAAGATCCCCCGCCCTCCATTTCGCCGGATCATACGCGGATTCCCTTCTTTTCCTACCCGTATGATAATTAGTTTATTTCCCCTATTTGTTGAGAAGATTAAAGATTTACCTAAGCTCACCTTACTACAAACTGCTATTGGATTACGATCACGATTTCTCAGCAGAGGCTTGAACTGTTTATATATACTAACTCTTTATTCAAATAGTATAGAACCCTAAAAACTGTTACCTCAATTTCATAATCATGGCGGACCGTGTAAGCAAGCTCAGTCGAGAGGTGTGTATAACTCTGAGGCTCATTGCTTGGGAACTGATTTCTTCGTAAACCCTTTTTGAGCTCTTTCGTTCCATGTTCTTACCAGAGTTTTCTTTCTTCAATAACTCTGACTTCATTGTTTTGGTTTATGGAAAATGATAAGGTCTTGAAAAATGGGGTTGAAGTGAAGCTGCAAAGGAATGCACTTAGCGTACTGGAGCATCCAACGGGGAACGAAGTGGGAGATGAAGACGATCTTGATCTGTACAACAGCAGTGGCTCTGACATTGGTGAAAAGGACCATGATTTCTGTACGTTGTTATTAATATCCCATCTTATGAAGATCATGTTCTGTTTCTTTTCTTTTTTTTGGGTATAGAGAAACCAATCATTTTGGTGTTCCCTGTTTTCCAGATAACGGCAGCCAGTTCCACAGATTCAGCAAGCCTAGAGTTCGTCCGGCAGCAGCAAAGCACTCGTCCTGCTATCCACCTGCAGCGGCTCCAGCAGCTAAGTCGACGAATCACATCAGTTTTAGGGATGTTCAGTCAATTATCCGTTCATCTCAGAGAGTAAGAATCCTTGCATTAGATTTTGTTTACCATGTTGAATTGTTAGCTCTCAAGCGCCAAATACTGAATTGGAGTGGTGCATTTGGGTTTGTAGAAGGTGAACTTGGTGAAACTAGGGAAGGACTCGTTATGGAGATACTGCAAGCATTACAAGCTGGTGAGTATCTTTCCCCCCCTTTAAGCTCCTGTCTTTGCTTGAAATCTATACACTTCGTTAATTTTGTGTTCCAATGGAATTCATTTGTGACGCTAGGCTGGCATCAACATAGATTCACCGAGGGAACAGATGCTCACCGTTGTGCAACAGCATTTCCTTTCAATGGTCTGTATCTGGCATTTCTTCTTCTCTTCAAAAAACGGGGAGTCTTTGTTAACGCAGTGTATTTTCCAGTTGCAGCAGCGACTGAACGAGAAGGACGTGATCATGGGAATCGTCATGCATTCAGCCAAGAGACGGAAACAGTTTGCAAAACCACCAGCCGCGAAGTGAGACGAGACTGAATCAGTGATGGAAGGCTGCTACTACTCATTGTAACTATTAGGAGAGTGATAATAACCCTAACCATCTTTATTTAGATCAGGTCTAATTGCATGTGCTGATGATACTTGGGAGATGACCTTTCTTTGCTCCTCTCCCTGGATTCCAGAACTGACCAATTTGCCAATTTGGTCCCACCTTTCATGTCCATGGTTGGCTATGAGAACTCTAGGTATTTATCATAGGCTTTCTGAAGAACAAGTACTGCATCGTGAGAGCAGTTCGCTGTAGATATTTTGTTGATATGATGAGATCAGTATTTCCCAGGTTGATATTTCTTTTCTGAAATCGGCATACGTTCTCATGATCATAATTGTCTTTGATGAATTTGTCCATTTCAATCGAGGAAAGCTTTCTTTCTCCCTCACAGATCAATCTCAAACCTCGTAAAGGTTTGATCTATACCTTTCATAACAATGGAGGCAACATTAACTTTCTTCCAACGTATAGAATGCTTGCAACTTGCAAGACATTGTGGTTTCACTCTCATGGCGATTACAGGAATTAGCTGATTGAGTGGCGAAACAAAGTTAACCCAAAACTCACACGATCAAAACAAGGGAATATGATATGATTTCTCCTCTCCACAGGGAAAAATGGTAACTTCAATCCCTTACAGCCATGCGAATAAAACCCTAATCCCAAAACCAAAACACAGGGGGGAAAACCCTAGACGAAATCTTTCTAAGAACATAAACCATTCGCCGCCACGGGGGGGATTTTTCATACCTCGTCCTCGTGGAGAAGCATGTTGGGGATCCCTTTGCTCACCGAGAATTTCCGGCCGGTCTCCGGGCAGACCAACGCCCCTTCCTCGAGATGAATCTCCAGAAGCGCGTGGTGGAATTTGCCCAGGAAGTCTTCGGACTCCAGCATCGACTCCTCCGCCTCCTCCGGCAGCTCGGCGTAGCCCAGGGACCTGGCGGCGTCGGAGAGGGCTCTCCACTCGATCTTAGAGAAGATGTTTCGGAGGAAGTCCGGGTTGAGATCGACTTCCTTATGGATCACTTTCTCGGCCTCGATTCGGAGCGGGAAGCCGTTGACGACTCCCTTGATGTTGGAGGAGAGCATGTTGTGAGTCAGTAGCCTCATCGTGCCTTTTTTTCTACGTCTCGTGCCGTCGTCTAGAGGCGCCGCGGCGACGATAGATTTATTGAGGGTCAGTGGCGGCTGGGGAAGACGGAGCTTTGTGAATCTGAATTTCTCAAATCGAATCACGGCGAAGGCTAGGAAGTGGAGTAGCTGATATAAAGCGCAAGTGGAAAAGCCGAAAAGCTAAACAAAAAGCCCAAGCCTAAGCTCAAGCCCACTTCAAGGGATCAGGGGAACCAAAAGCAGAAAAGAAAAGAATGGGGCCCAATTGTCCCAAGAACCCATACCACTAAGAAATTCCTTTTTCACAAACCTTGAGATTTATTCATTTATTAACAACAAAGATGGAAATGTGACATTGCCCCATCTTTACAGCTTTGCTATTGTGTAATGCCACCTCATCTTACTCTTAAACAAGGCAAAAAAATACATTTTCTACTTTGTTGAGTTCTATCATCAGCATTCCACATTGCAAAAACTAACAATACCAAACAAAGAAATTATGCTTTCTCACACACTTCACATTCTAGTCGACATTCTCTGTTCATTTGTTTGTTTATACTTTATATACTGTTAAGTGCCTTGTCCCAAACGGAAAGCAAAAGAAATGGTTGATAGCCAAGGTTGGTGGGAGGCAGCTGAGCAGAGTTGAGTGCCTGATTGGTCCAGCTCCTGCCCCTTGGCCCAAGCCCAGGCCCAGCCGCCCGAATAAGCTCCACCTAAAAATTCCGCACCGTTAACCGCTTTCGTCTTTTGTGGAGCCCACACGTCTCAGACTATTAAACAAACCGAACAAAGAAAATCCCAAAGTCAGTAGTCAGTCCGCGGGTGGAACCTTTTATCCAAATAATATTCTTCTTTGTTATTATGGTAAAAATATTTTTTTCCTCGTTCAATTACGGTTAAAACAAATTCTTTCTTCGTTAATTGGTCCTTAATTATATAGCCAGGAAAATTTGTCCTTAACTAAAATTTCTCCAACTTAATGGAATTTTGAATTTGTGGAATTGCACTAATTTACGATTGTTTTTATCTGAAGCCTGTCTTTTTCTGGGACCATATGACCACTCATAAAATCTTTATGGACAGACTAAGAATCAATAATTAATTAATCGAACATAAGATTAGGCGAGACAGCACCAAGATTAGATTAACTAAATTTGTTTATAATTAAAGATAATGACACAACAAATTAAATTAGTACGAAATTATTCTCATATTTATTATTAATTTATTGTTGTTCATTTTTTCCCCCTTCCATTTCAGTGGCAATTTGGCAAAGTTGTTCTACGCACGCCAACCAAACCTATCTCTCTCCCTACTTACACAAACTCTCACAAACCCTTTCTATCTCCCATCTCCACACCGCACCGAAGCTGCTCTTCTTCTTCTTCTTCTTCTTCTCCCCCTCCAATTTCCCGATCGCCGGAGCAATTCTCCTCCTTCGTTTCTCCGATCAGGTACGATCGATTCCCTTCTTCCTCTTTATCTCTCTCGACTCCTATTCACATATCTCTCTGACTCGGAGCAGTTATGGTGTCTGTCATCGTCTCTGGGTGTGAATTTGATCACTTTCCTGCTCCTCCCTTCTTCTCTGTCTGTCTGTCTGTGTTTGACCCGTGCTTATTTGATCGCTCTGTTTGCTTTTCTCAGCTCCATGAATTTATGCTTACTGTTGATGTGATTTTGATTTCCCCCCTATGGACTATGGTCGCTTTTTCTCCGTGGTTATGGTTTGTTTTTTTTCGGGCGGTGATGGAAGTGATTGATTGGCCAGCTCGTGATTCGTCTTGGGGTTTATTGATCGATAATGAATTCGGCTGTCCTTTTCTTCCCGTTTGAATTCTGCGTTGATATTCCTCGTTTCTTTCATTTGAGCATATTCTGGTTGCTGATGTTAATATGGTTGTTATTGTTTGGCAGCGGCAGGTTAGCCGGCATGTGACTTGAGGCAGAAGAAGAGCTAGCTTGGACATGGTTTTGGATGGGAAGTGGAGATAATTAGGGGGAGAGGACGACGACAATTAACTATATTATGGGAGGCTGCTGCTGCTGTTCCTCCAAGGGAGCTGAACTTAATTCCACTCCCGCCTACTACTATGTCAGTAGCCCCCAAGGAATTCTGTTCCGTTCGGGATTGAGATCGAATTCGGGTCTTCTTTGATGCGTTTCTTTTTGTCTAGTGGTGATGCCACGGAACTAGTGTTTTGTGGAATTGAGGTTAATGGAGATGCTAAAGGGCTAGTTTCTTTGTGTTGTTTCTGTATTAGAATTTCGCTTGGGAATTGGGATGAGATACCCAATTGGTACTATCCTGGAATGCAACATGAGATGGTGTACGAATTAGGATTAACATGAGTTAGGCGAAGTTGATATTTGCTTTTGTTGCTATTTCATTATCTCACGCAGTCATCTAATGTGGATGGCTCGTTGTATATTTCGTTCTTAGGATGGAGAAGGATTCGGTTGTCTGGTTCTTACTTTTTTGCTGCAGTTGTATGCTTATTATTATTCCTCCTGTTGGTTATATGCAGTATCCTAGAGCAGCAGAAGAGCGTATCCCATTATCAGCTCACCATGTTGCTGCCTCTACTTTCTCTTCTGGGCTCCTGGTTGATACCAACCTAGACACTTCCGTTCCAGATGCTTATAGGGCCCCTCCAACACCCATGCCATTTGATGTTGTTATAGGGCGCCCACAAACTCCACCGGAAGCTCAAGAAACTTGTAGTGATAATAGGAGTGATGGAACTCTCCAAACTGCAAATTCTGGTACTGCTCAAGAAACACCCGGTGCTGGTACTCAAGATGCATCGGTGAAGTGTGAAGATGCCAAGGATTCAGATAAAACAAAAGCAGGCTTAGAGATTGATCCAGTGGAGGAGTTAGAGGTAGAGATCTCCAAGCCAGTTGGGCCTTTTGTTCCACCTACAGAGGAGGAGGATTGTTGTCCGACATGTCTCGAAGGTAATTCCCGTCATATTATAGATTGGTTCAGTTTCTTTTGATGCTTTGTCCTCCTTAGTCATCCTTTTTTTCCCCGGCCTCCCATGCAGAGTACGATGATGAAAACCCGAGAATCATCACCAAATGTGAACATCATTTTCACTTGGCGTGCATTTTCGAATGGATGGAAAGAAGTGACACATGCCCCGTTTGTGACAAGGTTCGTAATCTCATTAAATGTCAGTCAGTTAATTACTAATAGCATATTGATAATGACAAATTGAGTCTTGTTTTGCAAATGATGCAGGAGATGATCTTCGATCCTCCTATTGATTAGCACAGCTGTACAGAATACTTGGATAAAAGGCCCCACAAGTTAGCTGTTTTCACCTGAGTTTGAGAATACAAGTGTTGCAAATGCATAGAAGTCTGGTTTCTCTTCTGTTTGTGTCATTGTCCTGTGATTGCGGCAGAATATCGGGCTGTGGCTGTTTCTTTGTTTTCTCTTTTCTTTTGCTCTGTGATCGTTCTTAGCTCTTGTTGTTTGAGCAATGTATTCTCTTTCTCAGACAATGATGCAGTTTGAATAGACGCTAGGAAGGTTTGATTGGTTGAGGGGGAAAAGAAAGGAGAAAAAGAGGGAAACAGGATAAGCTGAAGAGTCTGGTCGTTGCTTCAACGTGTGAAGACGCGGACTCTGGTTCACAATTTGGTTTATAGAATCATCTCATTAAGGATAGAATGTTGAATGTCTTCAGCTTTTGCATCGGTTCGGGTACTTTGGTTGATAGTCAGTCACATTGCTTTTCCAAATGATTTCCTGCTATGTTCTTTGTTCCCTTGGTTATGTCCCGGTCTGTACTGCAGACTGCAGATCTTTCTTTGGCATTCAGATAAAACTAGTAGTCAGCAATTGCTTCTTTAGAGAAACAATATCAGAGAGACAATTTGGGGGGTTCGGTTCTGTAGAAGGGTACAGATTGTGCAATTTGGAGGTATAGTGTGTTCTTTTGTATTCTCTTTTCATTTCTCTGTAAATGATACGCATCTGGTGTTCGGGATTTCAGTATACAGGATTACAGGTAGCTCTCTGCCCGTCATTATAGGCTTGATTCGTCTTTGGTTGAAATTTGGCCTTGTTTTACATTTGGTTACTGTGTAAATTGAATTCATACGACCCCTTAAAGACATTATTATCATTTTGTCCTGGTGTTATCTGCTGACTAACTGGAAATCTACCACATTCCACAATCATCAGAGGCTTTCCTGTTCACTAGTGTTGTCTGCAGGTCTGTTTATATATGTATTTATAGATCATCAAAGTGATATAACCAATGTAGAAAGCAAGAGAATATATTGTTCTGGAAAAGCTATTTCTGGAGGGTAGACGCCTCAATTCTACCTTAAATTGTACATTAGATTTGTTGGGCAAAATGGTGTCCGAGACAACCTTGTAGCAAACGTGGTAAGCACGAATAAAAGTTTGGTGAAAGTGGTAGCTGAGTATTTGGCAAATACATTCCAAACTTAAGTGCAGCACGTAAACCCCTTTGAAGCATATCGGCTTTGGGTTTCGATTTGGTTTCGGGTTTGATTTTCAAAGGATTATGTGTTCTGATTTTCTAGTACTTGGGGTTTCAATTCGGTTACCTGGACCTAGTCCGAAGTGACAACCCCTAATGTGAAAGGTTCTTCAAGTAGTCGTTTAGATTTGATTTTGGGTAGAATTATGAAGACAACTTTAAGATAACCATATATAAAACTTGGTTTCTAAGGGTACAATCTTGACAAAAGTATTGAGATGCACAAAAAGAGCTGAAAGACTTGTTCCTAGGCATCCATCCAAGCAACTCCTAAGAGCAAAAGATGACTTCAAATTCAGGAACACAACTGCTCTAGCATTACGTTTTATCTTTCTTTATTATACATGACATGAATATTTCTTTTTAGGTAGGGATGCCGGGAATCTAATTACACAGTGAGTTTAGAAGCTATTGTTTTTGTTTAATAAAAACATATGTCGGACATGGAAAGTATATAACTACGAGATCTCTAAAATCGTGAGCATTCGCTTGTGCCTTAAATTTTGTTTTTATAAAGAAGGTATAGTTCGATTGCATTGATTTAATTGACTTTAATGAAAATTTTGATTCCTTATATTATTTAAATTTCAACAAACATTAACCTAATCTACAACTTGTTGCAATGAAGTCTTTATTGTGTTTATCCATCTTTAGTTCACCCATTAAAAATTTCATACACAAATGACAAAAAACTGTGGTTGGATCAACTCTGATAAGCACGTCCATCATGAGCAAGTGAATTCAGTCATACGAGAGCAAAACCAACTACTCAATTTCATTATGTTTTCTTGTACAGTCATCAAAATCGTGATTTCTTTGTTATGTTGATGACTTGATATCCATTAACGATTGCGGTCTTTGGTTGAGGATGTGTCAACAAGAAATACAATAACTTATGCAATAGTTAGTTATAGATGAAAGAATAAATCGTAATATCTCCAATTTTAATTTTGTAATAAATCCTCTTCTTCCACCTTTTTGCAAAACCCTAAATACATGTTTTGCAATTAACTCTTCATGTCATTGCAACACTCTTTAACCAATTTTACCTCTGGACAAGCAACTCTATCTCCTATTCTAGTGAAATCGTTCTCTTCTGTTGATGAATTTTTTCGGGAGTAAGATAAGAGTTGCAGCACCCATACTTTTCTTCAACAAACTAAAAGTTAGCAACATATGATTTAAAATCTACTAGTTTTTTTCATGTCAAGTTCATATTCTCTCGCAAAGCGAGGTCACAAGTATTAGAAACGATATTTACCATAGCCCTCCAACACGGTAATCATGGATACAATATTGATAGCAAAATCTAATGTCATTAATTGATATCGAAGTGGGATCACGAGTACTAGAAACGACATCCGCCACAACCCTTCAACACGGTAATTATCGATATAAGTTTTATAGCAGAATTTAATGTCGTTTATATAATTGTCCCACTGAAATAACATCGAATTCTGTGGAAATAGAAAAAGGAAGAGTATTTAAACTCATGAATTCCTAATTTTATTCCATTAACATTTATTCTAAGAATGGAAATCTTTTCACAATTTGACCACATTGGATATTTCCAACATGCTATTGAAGGTGAGGAAATTAATTATCGGATATGAAATTTAGATTTTTTGCCAAAACAAGTCTAGTAAATTCTTGAAGGGTCATGAATTATTATTTCTTTTTTCTTCTTCCATTTTTGGTGAATTGCCAGTTATTACTTTACTCATAGGGTTCTACTTCTATGCTTACACATATATATGCTAATGCACCCTTACAATCATAATCATATTGAGTTATAATATACAACCTTTGGATTATTCATCTTGAGTTCAACAAACCATTTGGAAAAACAAAAAATCCCCTTATCTTGTAAGTCCCTTTCTCTTTCTCTTTAGTTTGTTTGTCTCTGCACCTTCACACCTTGCAATTAGATTTAGATCTCACATTTTACCCGTCTTAAGCTTAATAAATAATCTCTGCTGTTACTCACTAATCCATTCAAATTTGTCTGCCATAATATTTTTCTTACTCTTTCTTCTTACAAAGTAAACAAAGTATCAAAGGGTGGTAAAATAAAAGTTTAAACCTTTTGCCCTCTGCATTTATCTCTGCTCTTCTCCAACTGTTCATTTTCTCAATCCTTTCTTCCCTCCTTCTTTCTCGTCTCAGGACTTAGAACTATTTGTTTTTTCATAAAAATTTACATTTGGCGGCTGGGTTTGTAGATTGCGAAATTGCACCACCGTCATCTTGAATCTAAAATTATGATTTAACCGTTTCATACAGTTAAAATCCATCTATCAATTTAGTCTTACGGTCAAACCGCTTATTCGATAGAAAGCTTTATGATCACGCCACCGATACAAAATATGATTTGACAAGCACACGGCAAACTAAAAAAAATGAGTGAATGAGATATCATCTTGCTAACCCATCCATGGGGGTTTTAGGTTGCCCTAGTATAACTGATGAATTCACTCGCTTTTGGTTTCAGGAATCACAGTTTGTGTCCTTGTTTGTATCAATTTGACGAAACGACAGTCAAAAGATCAGAGCTTTTCCCCTTTCTGAACCCAAAACCTGAAACTTTGTTTGCTTTGTTTCTCTTGCTCTGCTTTTGCATTGAATTGGAACAACTAGAACATTGATTTTGGACTTGGGTTTCTGGAGAAAGGGAGAAAGTTTAGGTCTTTCGATGGCAGGGTGGTCGATGTTTGCAAATGGCCCTTGTTTGGGGAGTGCTGATGTTTATGATCACAAGCAGAAGACAATTACCAAACATGTCGCGAACGACATTGTTGTTACTGACAATAACCCTAACGACGACTATGTTGTGAAACTGAGGAAACTGTTTGATGAGGCGTTTTCAGTTTTCTATGATTTGGGTTATAACAACGGGGAGTTCTTGAAGCCGGTTCAAGGGTTGCTTGGCGACGGCCAACCTATTGATCTGTTCAAGCTTTTCTATGTGGTTGGAAACAGAGGAGGGTTTGATTTGGTGAACGGATGGTGGCAGTTTGTGATGGAAGAACTAAGGATGGATCCCAAGTATTCGGGCTGCATTAAGTTGGTTTATTTCAAGTACTTGTACAACTTGGAAAAATGGCTGACTCAGAGCTATAGTTACTGTGAGCAAGGCAGCGATTCGGGCAATTTCTCTGTTGATTTGGAGACCAAGTTCAGGAGCGTTTTGGCGTACGAGAATGGTAAAAAGAATGGTAGAGTTGCCTCACTAGAACTCAAGAAAAGTGGCGGGGAGGATGATGACGATGATGAAGATGTTAGTGGCGATTACAAGAGTTATGTTGACGGCGATGCTTATTACCTTGCTCAGAAAGAATCACGCAAGAGGAAACGCGTTTCGTTGTCTGAAATGCTTAGCTGGATGGCTCGGGCTGCAGCATGTCCCGACGCGGTCATCTCCAAGTCAAACCATACTGTGAAAGACAATGACTTGAAGGCCATGGCCATCAAAGCTAGAGATTTTCTGTTGAGGAGAAAGCCTGTTGATTCGAGTGTTGTTCAGAATTGTTCAAAGGTGCATTTCTCTATGATATTTTGATATTTCTTACCATCTTCAGTAATTATAATATGTCATATGCTCACTTGTATCAGAAGGCCTATTGACTTATTTTGTCTGGCGTTTGATTGTATTTGGTGCATCATGATGTTGATTGAAGTGGTGCACAATAGTCTTCTGCAGATTCTTTACTTAGCTTAGAGGGTCAAGTGCTTGTTTTGGGTCATTTACGAGGTCCTGCATGCCGGTGATGATTTTACGTGGATTTTAAACTAATTCCTTTTATCTGGATCGATTCATTGTTATATTTCCAAAACTTTTATGGCGGTCTCGTTCGAGATTTATTTCGAGAACATGCATTTACGTATACTTAACCTTTATTCCTTTTGTGACAATCCCTTTCAAGGAGAAGTAGTTCACTTTACGTTCTGGTCTTCTACGCAACAATCTACCAGTATTAGCGTCTTGGCGTACCGAATTTTACTCATTTCATATGGATGTTGAATTGGAAGTCTGATTCATTGTCCTTTTCCTTACTCTTGGATTTTCCTGACTCCTATTACAGAAGCAATTGCTATTTGCTCTTTCTAAATCTTGTTCCTTAAACATGCAGAACCAGCAAAAGATGCATCCATCCATGTATGACGATATCAAGGTCGACCAAGCTGTGGAGAAGCCAAGATGCAGAGGAAGACCACCTAAATCAAGCAAGTCATCATTTTCTCATGTTACTACATTCACAATAAAAAAAGTGTTGATTATGCCAAACTTTCAAGACTAACTATGTCGATTCTGCTCCTATTACAGAAGCAATTGTCCCGATTCCAGTTCGTGTGGGTGCTCGATTCCAGGCTAAAGTTCCTAAATGGACAGGGGAAGTATACGAGAGTGACAGCAAGTGGCTAGGAACAACAATATGGCCTGTGGAAGATGCAAACTCTGTCACTAAAGTTCAAAAGAATCTTGCTGGTAAAGGAAGGCCTGATTCCTGTAGTTGCCTGGTTCCAAACTCGGTTGGATGTGTTCGATTTCACATTGCAGAGAGAAGGGTGGAACTGAAGCGGGAATTAGGCCGGGCATTTTTCAAGGGTGGATTCAACCACATGGGAGAAGAAGTGTCCCTCGGTTGGACTGCAGAAGAAGAAGAGAGATTCAAGGATATGGTGAGAGATAACCCTCCATCTCAGGACAAGTGTTTCTGGGATTGTGCTCATAGGTATTTTCCTCAGAAGACGAAGCAAGAGTTGGTCAGCTATTACTTCAATGTCTTCCAGGTTCGGCGGAGGAGTTACCAGAATCGTGTGACGCCCAAAGAGATTGATAGTGATGATGATGAAAAACAGTTTGGATCTTTCACTGATGGTTTTGGGCACGATGCGATCGACGTAGTTGATGCTAGAGATGTATGTTTAGTGAATCGGGCGCGAAATGAGTACCCCCTAGACATGAAGATCATTCACTGATGGTTTTGGGTACGATGCGATCGACGTTGATGATAGAGAGTTGTATGTTTAGTAGATCGAGCCCGGAATGAGTACCCCTAGATATGAAGAATATTTTCAACAAGACAATACAATGTGACTGGAAAGTTGGAAACACATGTTTTTAGTTAGAGACATCATTGTTCGTTTGAATTTCATCATGACAGCGTTTGAAACTTCAACATGGTTTACTTACAAGGCATCCTGGCGAGAATGGGACCGAGAGGGGAGTACTTTTGTTTCAATCTTCTTTCTTAATCAAACTGTGGTTTGACTATGCAAAATAAGGTGTCGTTTGCTTCATGTATTTGAAAATGAAGATTTTGTTATAAAATAGCAAAGAAGAGGAACATACACAAGAGTAAGAGTAGAGACACAAGAAGAGAGGGGGAATAGAGCTTTCTTATTCATATATTCCCTAGTACAAGGAGATCATCTATTTATAGGCACACAACACATAACCTCTACATTCTTACAATCAATATACATGAATGTGAGAATGAATGTGAAATAGAGATGGGGTGGGGGGTTACATGTAACACCCAATTGTGCATCTAATGTGTCATATGAAGAAATAAATATAAGGAGATGAGTTACATAGAACTTGTAACATACCATGGAGCATCTAATGTTGGTCATCCATAATAATAATAATATTTTCATAACACTCCCCCTTGGATGACCATTAGACATGAATATGCCTCGTTAAAACCTTACTAGGAAAAACCCTGTGGGATAAAATCCTAGTGAAGGAAAAAGAGTACATAATCATCATAATACGCTATTTGAATCTGCCTCGTTAAAAACCTTACCAGGAAAACCCAGTGGGAAAAACCATGGTTAAGGAAAAAAGAGTGCAGTGCGTATATGCTCCCCCTCATGACAACATCAAAGTATAGTGTTGTGAACAAATCTTTCAAATCTTCTCATGATAAGCTTCTTAGTGAACAAATCTTCTGGATTGTCACTTTATGCATGATCCATTAGGACCATTTTCTTCATACATGATCTTCAATATCATTTTTTATGAAGAGAATCCACAACTACAAGTCATTTAGACGTGTTGAATCACAAATCTTAACCAAACAATTCATAACAAGTCTCATGAATTGTTGACCATTGTGCATGATCAGATGATGTTGCTATTGTGATTTCTTTGGAATCTCCATGAGATACTTGTACGACCATAAGTAAACAAATTACTCTTCTATGATCCTCATCGTTACCAATAGGTAACAAAGTATAACTTAATGAAGTATAGCAATATACATTTTCGCTCTAACGACATTGGCATACGGTACTTCAGGACCTAATAACTCGCTTCTATCTCAATGCCTAAATTGATCTTTTTTCACTTCTAGTGACCATGTGATCATTAAGTTGTTGAACATATGCAATTTTTTCCATACAAAATTGTCCTTTCACCTTTCCGACATTGTCGTACTGATCCAAAAAGGATCTTAAATCCTTCATGTTCAATTTTCTTTCTTTAAGCAATCCATGCTGCATGAAACTCTTCTGGAGTTCAATTTTCTTTGATTAAGCAAAACATGCTTTATGAAGCTCTTCTGGAGTTCATATCAACTAAAAGATATGAGATCATTATAAAATAATTTCTCGACCTTTTTCTTCCAAATAACTATAAAACTTAGCTAACACAATTGTATGCAAACAATTACTTCATACCACACGGTCACAAGCAAAAGGCACGTCATACACACAACATCACTTAACCAAACCACATTCATAAATCAAACTCGTAACTAAAACCACAATATCACGCACATAAGCCTATATGTCATAACACAATCACACATGCCAAATGCAAATGCAAATGCTCTAATGCACTTTATTCGAATTTAATCACGTAAGGCTTATTCGACCACTTCCTTTAGCAGATATTCACTTAGACGAATATACCATATTCATCCATTTTATCTCAATCCATACAAAGGATTGTTTTATCAATCGATATTGTTCTCGAGAACGTCACATGTTTGCTTCTGGCAAAACTAATCCTTCAGGGATTTTCTTATAAATATCATTATCAAGGGATCCATACAAATAGGCTATCACAATATCGACCAAATGCAAATTTCATGCTTTTTGAACTGCCAAACTATTTAAATTGCACAACATAGTTGCATCCACCACAAGAGAGTATGTCTCTTCATAATTGATGTCAGGTTTCTACCAGAAACCTCTCACGAGAAATTGTATTATATCTCTCGCAATTTCCATACGCATTTGCACAAAACCTATTTGTATCCCGTTAGTTTTACATCTTCAGGTGTAAGGACTTCTGGTCCAAAACTTATACCAAATAGCCTAATGCTTTCTTTTATATTGGCCAATATATATTCCTTTGCATGCATCAATAGACTTTTACTTTTGATCCTCTTTGTATCTATCACGTTCAGTGCTACAGCATAATCAAAACCCTTGTCGACAATAAATATACTTCGGTTTCAACTTTTTTCATACAAGCCAATTAATTGAGATCTCTTCATTTTAAAACATTCAGGTACCTACTATTCTTCTGGAACTATGATCTCAATTTTATGATCTCAATTTTATGACTTGACTCTTCTAGAGCTATTTTTCCTCGAGTTTACCATCTTAATTTATAGCTCCTTCCTTTCTCGAGGATTTTTATCCTTGGAACCGATTGGTCTACCACGCTTCATGCGCTCGTTTAGACTCATTAGATTATCCAATATGGAAATCAATTTGTATTGGAGCATTCACAACTGGGCATGTGACATAATCACTCCTTTTAGTGAATAAAAAGGCGTTTGGCAATCAATACGTTTTTTTTCCTCCATGAATCACCATATGAACTTCGGGTTCATGTTTCTTCGTTTGAGGATTAAAATGAGATAATGATGATTCCAACTCACATCTATGCCCCAGTGTTTACTTTTCTCCCCCTTAACGTTCGAAAAGTAATTCATCAAAATGATGATATTAGCAAAAAGAGTCATAAACAAATCTCTCATTGCAATGGACACCATGTCCAACATGAGTTCTCATGGAACTCATAACGTGTTGTGGTGGAGCAATTGGGATGTATTCTGCACACCCAAATTTTCTAGCATTTTAAATGTTTGGTCCCTGACCAAAACCATTTGTATGAAGGGGGGAACATATGATAACTTGTTGGCTTCATGCGAATTAATGATATCATATTCCTCGATAAAAGATCGATAGACTTAGCTTGTTCTCATAAGAGAAGTTTTGTTTGATTGGATAATCATCAAAATATATCCATCATTCGGCAACTAATCTCGCAAACATCAGGTTGCGTTTAGATAACAGACATATATGATGATATAGTTAGCATTTGCACGGTGAGTGTATTTTTCTGCATACACTTTTATAAAATCTCAACAAATTCAATTATTTTCACGAGTTTATTCTCCTCGAGACCATGTATCACATAATCAATCCTTTGATTGATGAATTCTCTGAACTCTCACTTAATTTCCGTATGATATCTCAATCATTTTTGCATCTGTATCCGGGATGGTATGACCGGACATGCCAAAATAAAAAGTTATCCGATCTTGCAAAGTACACTTTCATATGTACTAATATACATGTAGTACAAATTTCTCCAGTTAAGTATATGTTCTCTTAGAACACATTTGTGATGCAATATCAATTATGATATTCTTTTCTGCGAATATCTTCATAATTCGGTAATGCATCTTCAACTGACAGTTTAGTTCATTCACGTTTCAAAACATTAGCTCTTCTGGAGCCTTCACATATTCTTGTACTACATTTTGGCCATGAGGCACCTTCTGATTCGGTAAACTATTGTAAGCGCATATACATAGTGATAAGAATATTTACATACTATGAATATCACCAATATATTGTTTAGTTACTTCAAGTAACAAAACACATTCTCTTCCGGAGCTTTTCCTTACTTTCATACTATATGATATAATACCAGTATTGACTTTTGCGAACATTCATTCTATACAAAAGCATACAAAATAATAATAATAATAATAACATATATGTGTTTCATAACACATTCCGGCATATGAAGGTTACGATATATGATCATGACTTTTGCTACATGAGTTGTCATCCTCATTTATAATTATTTTATCTTTCACTTCCGGTGAAAAGATACATTTGTTGATTGTCGTTATCCAAACAACAAATTATATTAATATAATGGTGTGTCTCGATCCATTCACTTTTAAGAATGATTTGTTTCATTCGCTTCCAGGAATGAAACAACACCCTTTGGATCATATTATATAATATTTCTCATCACAAGTCCAATACATTTTTCACCTTTAACTAACAAGAAATTAACTTACACTATGTAAAACCTCTAAGATAATATTGCTACTGCAGGAGCACATATAGATTTTCATTTTCCTTTCAAATGATTCTTGGCCCAATAAAAATTCTTTTCATACATCGGGTACAAGATCAATGATTTTTTCCCCATCGCAATGGTAACTCATATTCCAATATTTTAGTTACCAAATCCACTTCTTTCATTTGACACATTTTTCCACTTCAGGGGAAAATGAGATCTTTAGACTTTCATTTCTCTATATGTCGAATGTAGCAATCGATAAGTCAACCCATAATGATTTTGCTACTACATGAGCAATTTTCATTATCTGATAATGTCCAAGCACAAACTCCATGTTACGAGATCGACATATATAAAATAATATGAACAAATAACATGATCAAATAATCCCTCAAAGACAATGAGATAGATAAACATACTAACAAGAAATGGCATGAAAATTTGCATACCTTGATCGTGTTGTGATCTTACTCAAGTATATGTGATTATGTAGAGAGACAATGACCAACCATTACTTTGGCAGAGCTCGTGCTGATAACGTGTTATAAAATAGCAAAGAAGAGGAACATACACAAGAGTAAGAGTAGAGACACAAGAAGAGAGGGGGAATAGAGCTTTCTTATTCATATATTCCCTAGTACAAGGAGATCATCTATTTATAGGCACACAACACATAACCTCTACATTCTTACAATCAATATACATGAATGTGAGAATGAATGTGAAATAGAGATGGGGTGGGGGGTTACATGTAACACCCAATTGTGCATCTAATGTGTCATATGAAGAAATAAATATAAGGAGATGAGTTACATAGAACTTGTAACATACCATGGAGCATCTAATGTTGGTCATCCATAATAATAATAATATTTTCATAACAGATTTTCTAATTTAAAAATCCAAGGATGAAGTGAAGTACTATAGAAACGAATTTATCTAAGAAATGATATGGGAAAGTGTGTGCAAGGTGTTTAGACTTAGGTCAAAAGTTCAACTAATTAAATCTAGTTATCGCTATACAATCAACTCTAACTTAGATGATTAGATATGAAAAGCTCAGCGATGACTAAAAGTAAGACTTTTATGCAACCATTTACCAATATAAAAAATTATATATGGGAGTGAGCAAACTAAAAAAAAGGTTGAAGAATCAAATTCATCTTCTTGTATCTTTCCCACCGTAATTTCTGAATTCAGTTTTTACTGCACCGAAAGGGGGAAGAAAGTAAAAGAAGGGCGTCTAGAGGTTAGGGTGTGCCGTGTGGTTCTAATTTCTAAATGCCCTGCCCTTAGATTACTCTTCCAGTCTAGGCTATATAACTCCTCCTCCGTTTCTCTCTCAGCATATCATAACATATTTGTTTAATTTTGCCGAAAGCTATCTCCTTTCCTTTTCGTCATTTCTTCACCGCCCCTACCTCTTCGGAAACAGCAAAAATAACTTGCAAACCCAGAAGCAAGCAACCCTTTGAACAAGCGCAGCCAAAAAGAAAGAAGCAAACATGTCTTCCCCAAGCAAACGCCGTGAGATGGATTTGATGAAACTGTATGATAACTTCTTCAAAGCTATCTCTTTGATTAAGGAACTGCTCTTTTGTCAATTGGGTTGCGCCCAAGTTTCGTTTCTAATTTTCTTTTCTCTGGTTTTTATATGGGAAAATTAGGATGATGAGTGATTACAAGGTGGAGATGATCAATGATGGCATGCAAGAGTTCTATGTGGAGTTCCATGGACCGAAAGACAGTACAATCTTGACTACCCTCTTTATCTTTTCCCCCTATTCACTGCTGTTTTGATCTATATGCTTGTTAATTTGTCCTGAGGCGGTGATTTTTCTGGGTTCTTTTACTTCTTCCATTAGTTGATTGATTTCGCCGCTGTGTTGACCTTATCTAAGTGGATTTTGGTGATAGATTTGTCCTTGGAGATTGCTATAGATGACCAACTTCCTATTCTCCTTTTGCTTTAGCTAGTCATTTTTCAGCTCTTTTCTCCATCTGGGTCACCTGTTATTCATCATTTTGATCAATAATGGCAATAGGGTAGTTGCCATTTTTTGCTGTAGCATAATAAGGTGCTGATGTTGTCGTGGATTTAGTCCATTTCTTGAGTCCTTGTTCGAGGTGCAGCTTAGTTTGATGATTTTCCTCATCGAAAACTAGTTCATGTTGGGGATTCTTTACTGGTTAGAGAAGGTGGGTTCTTTTTGTTTGTTCAGTTTTTTTAATGTTTGCTTTTTGGAATGTGGTAGGTCCCTACCAAGGAGGGGTGTGGAAGATAAGAGTGGAATTACCAGATGCTTATCCTTATAAGTCTCCGTCTATTGGATTCATTAACAAGATCTACCACCCAAACGTGGATGAAATGTGAGCTAGCCTACCATATATTAGGATTTGAATCAGAACTTGAATGCTTTCTTATTGGTGCTACTGTATAAACAGACTGGTCCTGACTTCTGACCATAGAGTTGCTGGTTCTTGTGTCTCAGGTCTGGTTCAGTTTGCTTGGATGTTATCAATCAAACTTGGAGCCCTATGTTCGGTATGCATTTTTTGTAGACTTGTCTGTGATGGTTCACTATTGAACTACAATCAGTCGTTTGCTTTCAGAGCTGGAATTTTGTATGACCTGCCACTTGCTTCAAATTCCCTTCCAGATCTGGTGAATGTATTCGAAGTGTTTCTCCCCCAGCTTCTTTTGTATCCCAATCCCTCAGATCCTTTGAATGGAGAAGCTGCTGCACTAATGATGCGTGATCGCTCTACCTATGATCTCAGAGTGAAAGGTAGCCTGTCTGTGATACCGATATTAAGTTTATCTGAATGCCTTGCCGTCTGATCCTGTGGTTGATGTTTGGTTAAATGCTTTCAAATTTCATGTTCTTATGCAACATGTGCTGATAACAACATAAAGTTGCAAACGTTCGAGGCACGAGAGTGAAAATATAGCAAAACACCTTTCTTCCTTCACTTTTAGAGGCTATGTGTTGTCTTAACTAGGGACCCTAGTTGTCCAGTCGATTTCTCAGTCTTTAGATTCTGAAATCGGTCTTCCTGTACCTGTTTGTGCTGTTGCAGCATCTTCTCTCGTTCAGCATCTCTTGTGTCAACCTGATTTTTGTATTTCCAATTGATGTATCCATGACATCCGCTCACATCCAGCATGATTGCTGCTACCTTCTGCAGTAGGTAATGGAGCACAGCCATTGGTACTGCATGTGTGAGCAAGTAGTATTGAATGGGTTAATATATTCTTGGTCATAATGTGAGTCTTGAAATCTGCCCTTTGGCTTCCAACAATAATCTTCAAGTGTCCTACCTTATGGATGGAATCTGATAATTTCAATGGTAATCTGGAACTCTTTCCATTAAAATAGATATACTGCTGAGGAAATAGCATAGTATCCCATTGTCTCTTTGCGTCTTGATTGCGATGCGAGTAGACTGCGTGGAAGTTCAATGGTGTTGCTAATTCTCTGCATTCTGTTCTAGTAATAATGGTTGTTTGAAACATGTAAGGGAGAGAACCAAAACATGAGAACCATAATCTTCATTGGTTGAATCAATTTAAGTGTGTCTCTTGTCACTCTTACTGAAAGTCTGTTGCATCACAAATAGCACATTCGTCATCTGCAATTCTTTGCAACCTCCTGAACTTTTGCTAATCCAATTGCCTTGCAACAGAGTATTGTGAAAAGTATGCGAAGCCAGAGGATGCCGGGTCAAAACCAGAAGAGAAATCGTCAAGTGACGAGGAGCTGAGTGAAGATGAGTATGCATCCGAAGATGAGCAAGTTGCAGGGAAAGCTGATCCTTGATTGCCTACTTGTAGCCTGGTACCCTGCTCTTTACTAATTGTCTGTAATCCTGTACATGATAGCTTTCATCGTTCTTCGAAGATGGAAACGAAATCCCAAAGAAAAGATACGGAGAACAGAAATGCTGAAGGGGGTGAAGGGGAAAATTTTCCTTACCCCTGACAGTCATGAACTTTGAACCTTTGTGTATATTGTTTCAGCAGTGGGATTGATGTTTCGGATATTCATTTATTACTCTTTGTTGGGACAATGTCTATTTGCTCTTTTGCTTTGGGGTTGGTATTCTCTGATCTCCACTCTCTTGTTTCCCAAAGAAAACAAGATGTGTGAAATCTAATTGGCCATTGATTACCAGGGTGTAGGGTTTGCCACCCAGTCTGGTTGAGTATCGATCGTAGAGGAATGGAAATCATTGCTCGACCGTTGGAAATTGTCGAGGAATGATCCATCACACTATCACATCGAACGTCTATGACATTGTTCGTATGGGGTCTGAAAAAGAAAGGAACCATTGTTCATGTTTGAGATATAGTAGGCAACTATCTCCCCTAGTCGAGAGACGAAGATTTTCAGCAATCATTCGATCGTGATCGGCATGGTGGCTGTGTAAAACATGCTCATTACAGTGTCTTCCTGATACTCCAGGAAGGAAGATGATCCTCCTCGTAATGGTGGGTAGCTAAGGAATCCTTCAGAATTCAGATGTGTGTTTGGATCTCTCCAACATAAGAGAAACTATTTCCTTTCTTGGATTGCCCTCACTCAACAGGGAAACTCAAGTACATGTTACTGATTGGAGCCTCATTGTCATTGATACCGACGGCAGGCAGAAGTGAAAGAGAGAGAGAGAGAGAGAGAGAGAGAGAGATGTCAGAAGACTTCACCTCGGCCTAATAATTGAGCAATTTGAATGCCTCTGTTAGGCAGTGTTGGAATGCAAGACTTCCAAGTTCCAACATGTGTATTTAGTATTTTTACTGTTCGTCAACAAAAAGAAGGTAAAGAATGAATATATGTGCATTCACTGCAGTTCACATTTAACACTTGTGAAGCAAGCAAGCTTGGGTCATTCTTTGGATATTCATCAAGTGGTGATGGAGAAACGCTAGCGGCGATGCGATTTGAGATTTGATCTTATGCTGATCCAAAGATTGATTAAAAAAAAAAAGACTATGTTCCATTTTGATTGCAGCCAGCCCAAGAGATATTTTATATTTAATGTGGCGAGCAAACATAACATCTGAGCCCGTATAGCTCAGTGGTAGAGCGTCAGTCTTGTAAACTGAAGGTCCGTAGTTCGATCCTGCGTGTGGGCACTTATTTTTATTTTTCTGTTCTTTTTTAATTTTCGTATATTTGCAACGTTGTACATCAACGCTTTCTCTGCAAATGTTACTGTTTCCTTTTCCCTGCCGAAACCTGATCAGAAATGGCTCCATCTCCATCCCAAAAATTCCTCGGCAACAATCTCTGCATAATTCAATTCCAGACCAGAATGGCGTATAACAAATAATTATGGTTGATTACAAATGGTGTGGCGGAACTGGAACTGGAATGGAACGAACGAACCCTACTGCCTTCTCTGCAAACCTTATTCAGTATACTTTCTATACTTCCCCTCTACTCGTAACCAAAAAACCAAAAAAAAAGTGGTTCTAATTCATCACAACCGAAAAACACCCTCCGGCCGCCGTCGCCGTCTACGGCGGAGAAGAAGCAGCATTATTATTATTACCACCGGCCGTCGTCTGAACTTTCGCAATCAACCTCCCGAGCTTACTCAGCGTCTCCCTCGCCGCAACCGTATCAGGATGATTCTCCCCACAAATGGAAGCCCTAATGAAGATCGCCTTCTTGATCAAATCATCCCCAACATCGAAAACCCCTCCTCTCAGCATCAGCTTCGCCCTCGTCTCCAGCACCGTCGCCCTCGTCAGCGCCAGCTCCTGCCACAGGTACGGGTTCAGCTGCGCGCCGGTCTGAATCGGCCGCCAGCACAGCGACTTCTCCAGCCACTTCTCCACCGGGGTCACGAACGCCTGATCGGCCTCCTCCAGCGCGTCCGTGCACAGCCGGAGCAGCTCCACGCCGGCCTTGCATCTCGACAATGTGATGAACGTCCTGATCGCCAGCGGCAGGATCACTTCTTTGACCGCGTAGAGCAGCTCCGAGACCTGGAGATCGACGACCCCTTTCTGCTCGTTGCCGAACCCTAATGTGAGGAAGCACGCCGCCCAAATGTGCTCCGAGTGGTGGAAGATCGAGCCGCGGTTCAGCACGGCTCGAACCATCGCCTGGGCGGTTTCTGGGGATGTTGTTGTTGTTGTAGAGGTGATTACTTTCCTGCGAGCGTAGAGCTTGATTAGGTCGTTGACGTGGATGGAATTGGGCTTGGTGCTTGCTCTGGCGATGTTGAATCTTAGGAGGAGGGACGATGCTTCCGATTCGGATCGCTTGGTGTAGGGAGAGGACAGACCGCAGCTCATTGAGCTGAGGAGCTTTCTCCAGGCCTTTTTCCGGCGATCCTTTTCAGGGATTTTGCTGGCGGCCAGGGCGAGGAGAGGGGTTGGGATCGGAGCTGGGGCGAACCAGCCGCTTGCTTGGACCATACGGTTTGCCAAGCTTCTCGGTCCGTCGACATGGTCGAAGATCGAGAAGCATACTTCGAAGAGCTGGAGGAGGAATGTGTTTCTCCTTAGTGGGTTGGATTCTCTGCTGCTGCTACTCCATGGGATGTCCCTCAATGGCATTCTGTTTATGGTGTCCAGCAGTCTGCTGGGGTTGATGGGCAGTTCGGACAGAATTGAGCCAATGATGGAGAGGCCTAGGGTTAATCTTCCGACTTTCTCCTCCATGGCTCGAAGAGCATCGACTTCTGGGATTGAGTACTCCTTGATGGTGGTGGTGGTTCCTTGCATCAGTGCCATGGCTTCGACTCCTGATAAGTAGGAGAGCTTCATTGGTTCTAAGTTCATCACTCGGGGTAAGCGGGTGGAGATTATTATGTGTGTTTCTCCACCGAACAGAGGGAGTAGATCCATGATAGGCTTCTGATCCCACCAATCTTTTTCGCTCTCCAAGTTGTCAATGATTAGTAAGAAGGGTATGTTTCTTGTGAGCTGTTTCTTGATTCTCAGAATGGCTTCCTCCTCTTGTTCTTCGAAGCTTCGTATCTTGGTTTTCTCCGAATTATGATCCAAACCAACATCAATTTCGAGAAATGACCACAGGTTTAGATAGTTCTGCCTAATGTACCTGCTTTCCCCACCAATCCAGAGCACCATTTTGTACCTCTGGTGATACCTATAGGCAAACTCAAGGAGAAGCTCTGTTTTGCCTATTCCTGGCTCACCTGAAACACAAGCAATGCCCTTTCCATACAGAGGCTTTCTCGACGATCTCCTTCTCCTTGCATAGTAACGTGGATTCTGCTTCGGCCTTATCTCAATCTCCTTCTCTGATTCCTTCCATAATATGGGCTCTTTGAACTTATTATTATCACCACTTACACTTTCCAATTTCCATCCAAGATTCATACTTTTCTTCCTTCTGTGCCTTGCCTTGAGCTCGAAGTAATCTCTTTCAGTATCTCCACTGACATCACCAAACAGCATGAACTCCAACTCGGAAAGCTCTCTTTTCCTGCCAACAAAGTTGTCGCTTCGAGGAAAGGGGAACTCTTCTTTGTCTGCTTTCTCTCTCCACTTTGTCACTCTATCCACAACACTTCTCCTTCCTAACTGCATTCCCAGAAGTGTCACAGCTCTCTGAATGCAGTCTCTCCAGTTTCCTTCCTGAGCCTCTAGCTTCCACTCGTCAACCCGGGACAAGCTATTCACAGCTTCCTTCCATTCTTTCTCGACCCCACCATAATGTTCCCAAAGCTCGCCTCCATGTTTCTCCCACAAATCACCACTCTTCTCAACAATGTCCCTCACAAGGCAATCTCCTGGTCTCAAGTCGAAAAAAACCGGGACTAAGTTCCTCTTGTCAGCAAAGAATCGAAGCTCTTCAATGGTGTATGGATTTCTGAAGCATTTTCTAGTTAAGACAACAATGCCAAAAGATGAAACATCCATTGCCTTCTCTGCCAGTCCACTTTTCCTAGAGTTTCTACACCGAGCTCGGTCAGATACAAAGCAGCTCACTCCTTGAGCTTCTAGCTCAGTTCGCAGCCAGTTGGTGAATCTCAGCAGAGAATGCTTTCTGCCATGGAAGCCTATGAAGACATCACAACTCCTAAGTCTGTTTGAGCAAAGCGATACAGAAACCGGTGTTGCAGCATATGCTGTTCTGTAACCTCGGCCATGCTTACTCCTGTGCTTCTCTCTCAACTGCGAATAGCTGTTGTTGCCAGACGGGCTGCTGTTGGATATCCCGGTGGTTGAGGATGTTATCCTGTCAAAGTTCTGGAAATCAGCCGCAGCAATCCCACCTGGGTCCCTCGAGAGTTGTGACAATGTATCTCTAATGTTGGTCAAAGATTCAGGATCCTGGAGCCCAGATGTCGAGCTTGGAGGGTCGCCGCTTAGATTATTGATGCTGTCACAGTGAGCATCAGACCGAGTTGATTCCGAGACTTGACATGTCGTTGCTGGGGATCTTGGTGAGAAGAATGGTGATTGGTTTGCTGAGAAGAATGTTGAAGATGATGAGGAAACACTCCTCAATGTTGTTGTAGCTACCGGCGGTAACAACCTGGGCTTAGAGTTGCAGATGTCTTCTCGGATGTCCATAATTTGTGTAAGGTCTTGTACTTGATAAGGAAATGGAATCCCATGAACAAGGGAACACTCCAAAAATTTTGCAGATTCTGAAATGAAAAGAAAGAGAATCTTCAACTGAGATTCTGGGTATCATTTACCAGCCATCAAAATCACTTGGCAATTTCAAACTTAGATATGAAGCATCATAATTCATAACGGTTCATTCCTAAACAAAGTTGGAAGAATCTCCAAATGTCGAGTTAATGAGAACTTACTAAAACCGTGGAAATTGGAATCGACAACCGAAAAAGGACAGAGAGGGCCCCAGAAAGAAGAACCACAGTTAACCAAACTTTCCAACAGAATGAATAAAAACCCATCAACGGAAGCATTCTGAAATGATTGGGAAAGTTCAAAAGCTTGAAACTTTAAAAGTGTAATCTAGATCTAATCAGCCATTGAAAGATGGAGAAACAAAAGACACCACATTCTGCAGAGAATTCAGATCTGAAGAAGAAACTTACTTTACTTGGCAAATCTTGAGATGGGCTTCTTTATCATCAGATTCACTGGCCGGCAAACGACCCCAATGGAGCGCGAGTACAAGTCCAATTCATTGGCCGGCAACTCAAGAGAGTGCAAAAGAAACGCAGAGTTCGAGGATACCCAGATAACAACTTGGGGATTGCAGAGGCCACCAATCACAGTACAATGAACTTACACCCCCCAAAAAACCTGCAACCAAAAAATAGGGAAAACAGGACACAAATAACTCATTCACATTCCATAAACAAACAAGAAGCCGGATGGAAAGAAAGAACGATTGGGGTGGCTTTAAAAATGACATAAACAGAAAGCTGTTAAGGACAGGGAGAAAGAAGATTGAAAGAGAGGGAAAGGGCAAACAACAACAACAACAACAAAAAACACAGCAACCCACTGTCAATCAATGGCTGTCTGAAACACCCAAAAAAATCCCTTTCAGCCGTCAAGTGAAGA